CAATACTAGTTTTAATTTATCTTAATGCTGCGTTCGACACTATAGACCATGACATACAAAATTACACTGGTATTCAGGGACAGGCATTACGGTGGTTTAGATCGTACTTAGCAGACCGTTACCCTTTTGTCTACTTAAATGGTGAAAAATCTGAGGTAACATCAGTAAATCATGGGGTGCCACAAGTATCCGTGTTAGGCCCTCTGTTATTTTCAATATACATGCTGCCACTTGGCAACATTATTAGAAATGGAATTAGTTTCCACTGCTATGCCGATGATACTCAGTTATATATTTCATCACGACCAGATTAAATTTCTAAACTGTCCAAGTTGACAGAATGTGTTAGAGATATAAAACATTGGATGACCAGTAATTGTCTCCTACTAAATTCAGACAAGACTAGGTATTACTTACTGGACCAAAAATCTGCACACAGAATCTCTTAGCATACAATTTGCAACTAGAAGGATGTACTGTTATGTCATCATCTGCAGTTAAAGACTCTGGTGTTATATTAGACAGCAACTTAACTTTCGAAAATCATATTTCATATGTTACAAAAACAGCCTTCTTCCACCTCAGAAACATTGCTAAGCTACGGAACATGTTATCTGTTTTTGACGCAGAAAAGCTAGTTCATGCATTCATGACCTCTCGACTAGATTACTGTAATGCATTAATAGCTGGTTGTCCTGCATCTTCAATAAACAAGCTACAGTTAGTCTAAAATACAGCTGCTAGAGTTCTTACCAGGTCAAAAAAATATGATCATATTACCCCAATTTGATAATTTCTACACTGGTTACCTATTAAGTTCCGCATTGGTTTCAAAATATTGCTACTGACCTATAAGGCACTAAATGTCATGACTTCGGTCTGATCAGCAGGTTGTTGTTGTTTTTTGTCTGTTTTGACAGTTCGCCATGTGCTCATTGTCTTTGTGGTTTCCCTCTCCATCGTTATCTTATTAACTACTTTAGCTGCCGTCACACCTGTGGCTTGTTAATTCCTTAATTCTCCCTCTTTTTAAGTTCCCCTCGTGTGTAGTCTTGTGTCTGACTGTTGTGGTGTGAACACTCTACTCTTCGTTCGTGACCTACTTCCAGTCTTGATGAGTTCTTGTCCTGCCGTGTTTTCATAGGCTCCAAGTACAGTTTAGTGTTTTCAGTTTGGCTTTCGCTCTCTGCCTCTTGTTTCACCAGTTTTCTGTTCCCCAGTTCCTGCCCTGGCATTACCAGAATCGCGCTTCGCGGCCTCTCCTCTCCTGCCCCTCTCGGTGCACTCTACAAGGAACTCTCTGCCCTGACATTGCGTCAGTACCGACGCTTGGACTCTGTGTGCGGTTCCCTCTCCACTCTGACGCTGGGACTGTGTGCGCTGATCTCCCTACGCCTTACCCTCTCTGCCTCATGGAGTGACTGGAGGCTCATTTGGACTGTTCCCCTCTTCCTGTCTCTAATCACTGCCCTGAATTACGACTTCTGGTCTGCAGTCCCAGCCGAGTTTTGTGTTTCAAATAAATTTGAGTTGAACCTGCAAATTTAATCTGTGTTTTTCCCTGACACTAAATGGTTTAGCTCCTGTATATTTAACTGATCTTCTTATGCCCTATAATCCATCATGCTCTTTAAGGTCCCGAAACTCTGGACTTTTAGTAGTGCCTAGGATATCTATACTGAACAAAATTATAAACGCAACACTTTTGTTTTTGCCCCCATTTTTCATGAGCTGAACTCAAAGATCTAAGACTTTTTCTATGTACACAAAAGGCCTATTTCTCTCAAATATTGTTCACAAATCTGTCTAAATCTGTGTTAGTGAGCACTTCTCCTTTGCCCGAGATAATCCATCCGCCTCACAGTTGTGGCATATCAAGATGCTGATTAGACAGCATGATTATTGCACAGGTGTGCCTTAGGCTGGCCACAATAAAATGTGGCCAGCCTAAGGCCACTCTAAAATGTGCAGTTTTATCACACGGCACAATGCCACAGATGTTGCAAGTTTTGAGGGAGCGTGCAATTGGCATGACAGGAATGTCCACCAGAGCTGTTGCCCGTAAATTGAATGTTCATTTCTCTACCATAAGCCGTCTCCAAAGGCATTTCAGAGAATTTGGCAGTACATCCAACCAGCCTCACAACTGCAGACCACGTGTAACCACACCAGCCCAAGACCTCCACATCCAGCATCTTCACCTCCAAGATCATCTGAGACCAGCCACCCGGACAGCTGCTGCAACAATCGGTTTGCATAACCAAAGAATTTCTGCACAAACTGTCAGAAACCGTCTCAGGGAAGCTCATCGGCATGCTCGTCGTCCTCATCCGGGTCTCGACTGACTGCAGTTCGTCGTCGTAACCGACTTGAGTGGGCAAATGCTCACATTCGATGGCATCTGGCACTTTGAAGAGGTGTTCTCTTCACGGATGAATCCCGGTTTTCACTGTACAGGGCAGATGGCAGACAGCGTGTATGGCGTATGTGAGCGGTTTTCTGATGTCAGCGTTGTGGATCGAGTGGCCCATGGTGGCAGTGGGGGAATGGTATGGGCAGGCGGATGTTAAGGACAACGAACATAGGGGCATTTTATTGATGGCATTTTGAATGCACAGAGATACCGTGACGAGATCCTGAGGCCCATTGTTGGGCCATTCATCCACGACCATCACCTCATGTTGCAGCATGATAATGCACGGCCCCATGTTGCAAGGATCTGTACACAATTCCTGGAAGCTGAAATCATCCCAGTTCTTGCATGGCCAGCATACTCACCAGACATGTCACCCATTGAGCATGTTTGGGATGCTCTGGATCGGCGTATACGACAGCGTGTTCCAGTTCCTGCCAATATCCAGCAACTTCGCACAGCCATTGAAGAGGAGTGGACCAACATTCCACAGGCCACAATCAACAACCTGATCAACTCTATGCGAAGGAGATGTGTTGCACTGCGTGAGGCAAATGGTGGTCACACCAGATACTGACTGGTTTTCGGACCCCCCAATACAGTAAAACTGCACATTTTAGAGTGGCCTTTTATTGTGGCCAGCTTAAGGCACACCTGTGCAATAATCATGCTGTCTAATCAGCATCTTGATATGCCACACCTGTGAGGTGGATGGATTATCTCGGCAAAGGAGAAGTGCTCACTAACACAGATTTAGACAGATTTGTGAACAATATTTGAGAGAAATAGGCCTTTTTTGTACATAGAAAAAGTCTTAGATCTTTGAGTTTAGCTCATGAAAAATGGGGGCAAAAACAAAAGTGTTGCGTTTATAAATTTGTTCAGTGTAAGTCCACTAAAGGAGGGAGATCATTTTCCCATCTGGCTCCCAAACTCTGGAATAGCCTTCCTGATAATGTCCGGGGCTCAAACACACTCTCTCTGTTTAAATCTAGATTAAAGACAAATCTCTTCAGCCAAGCATTCACATAACAAATCTCATATCCTTGTTCCCAGTTAGATCAGATAAAAGTCACAAATATAGTTTTTGTATGATTCTTGTATGATTCTATTATCTTGAACTCTTCATTTGTGAAATGAACATTACTTGGACACATTCACTTCTGATAACAGATCACTCTAAATTGTAATGTAGACACATGCCTTTTCTGTAAAGCTACTTTAAAACAATGTGTATTGTGAAAAGCACTATACAAATACATTTGAATTGTGATGTTGATTGTTATGATGTTTTGGCCGATCTGAAGAGCACTAACCTGCAAATGCAAGTCTGACAGCAGTACCAAAATGCATTGTCTTCGCACTGATGCCAAGAGCACAGTAGTACAGCCCCAGATCCGACTCTCTGACCCCAATGATGGCTAGGCTGACGGAGTCAAGCCTCCTGTCTGCTTCCAGCCGAAAGTGACTTCGATCCTCATTATGGTAAGTAATGAAATCTTTTTTTTGAAGGTTTCCTCTTGCTGCAGATATGAGTAAAACAATCTTCTCAGCGCTCAGTCGATACCATGCCATCTCAGAGCTGGAGTTAATGTAACAGGGCAGAGTAACATTCTGCTCCAGCTGGACGCTCACATTCACAGTGGCTGCACACATCAAACATTGTGTGCTGATGCCTAGGAAAGACAAGATACATACAATTCTTGAATTGCAAGTTCTCTAACTAATTTATTGTAACTAGGATGGATATATATATATATATATATATATATATAAAATAGAAATCTCTTTATGGATATATACTCACTGATTAAAAGGATTACTTTGAAACTGCTCATGTTCCAGTCTATTAGTCAGATGCAGAGCTCTGACAAAGGGAGCAGGGGGTCTTACTTATATATGCTTCAGTTTGCAATCACTTCACAGGTCAGGCTTTCACTTATAAACCACAGTTTTGCAAATTTCCACAGATGTCATGCTGGTGTTTACTGAAAAGGGAAGAATATGTTTGCTGCTGCATAGCACCACTTAAGTTTCATTTTTGAGGAATAAGGAAATTCTAGAGCAGCTCGGTTTACACACTCACTGTTTCAGCATGATGAACAGTCCTCCAGTGCACTCATAACCTACTACAACACATCACATGTATCTATTCACACATTTCATCCAAAACAACTAATAATGCATCCAAGGCATGCAGTACAGTACATGTGCACGTGTGTGTTCCCTGAGAAATGAACTCATGACTGTCATCTTTGATTTTACACTACACCAGTTCAAATACAGGAACAAGTGCCCAGCAACTGGCTAACTGCTACATAAAGTTTCAGTTTCATTTTACATGTCAGCGAGCACTGAAAGGACTGAAGCAGGATTCTGAAACTGAGCATTTCATGACCTTTCCCTCGAGTTCCTGTGTGACTTCAGTAAGGTTTGACTGGATTTTATGATCTCTGTCAGTCCAGTGCTATAGTTTGGGTATTGTTGAGTTTGTTTAAAATGCATTTTAAGTCACTTGTTTACCCACTTGTTTTTTCTTCTTCTTCCATGTTTCTCTTCTTTGTTCTTCTCTTCTATGAATGCCATCAAGAGTAGACCTTAGTGTCTGATTTGTGGAGATAAGCATTTTCATGAGAACAGAAACACCATATTATAGTTTTTCCTCAACCAATTTTACACAAAATAACATAATTTCTCTCAAAACAATTAACACAGCCAAGTACCTTAGCCAAACAACTCAACTTTACTGCATTTTGAAACCAGATTTTAATTTGAAAATTCATAGTAAAAGTATCAGACCTACACACTATTGAAAATACATACTTATCATAAAGTTGTTCAGTGAGGAGTTTTGTTAAAGGAATAGTTAATCAAAAATGAAAATGTGCTAAAAATGTGCTCATCCTCAGGCCGTCCCAGATTAGGATGAGTTTGTTTCTTCATCAGGTTTGTAGAAATGTAGCATTGCATCAGTGTCTCAGCAATGGATGCTCTGCAGTGAATGGGTGCCGTCAGAATGAGAGTCCAAACAGCTTATAAAAACATCACAATAATCCACAAGTAATCCACACCACTCCAGTCCATCAGTCAACATCTGGAGAAGACAAAAGCTGCATGACTCACATACATATATACAGGTGCATCTCAATAAATTAGAATGTCGTGGAAAAGTTCATTTATTTCAGTAACTCGTGTATTAAATAAATTCAATGCACACAGACTGCAGTAGTTTAAGTCTTTGGTTCTTTCAATTGTGATGATTTTGGCTCACATTTAACAAAAACCCACCAATTCACTATCTCAACAAATTAGAATATGGTGACATGCCAATCAGTTAATCAACTCAAAACACCTGCAATGGTTTCCTGAGCCTTCAAAATGGTCTCTCAGTTTGGTTCACTACGGCTACACAATCATGGGGAAGACTGCTGATCTCACAGTTGTCCAGAAGACAATCATTGACACCCTTCACAAGGAGGGTAAGCCACAAACATTCATTGCCAAAGAAGCTGGCTGTTCACAGAGTGCTGTATCCAAGCATGTTAACAGAAAGTTGAGTGGAAGGAAAAAGTGTGGAAGAAAAAGATGCACAACCAACCGAGAGAACTGCAGCCTTATGAGGATTGTCAAGCAAAATCGATTCAAGAATTTGAGTGAACTTCACAAGGAATGGACTGAGGCTGGGGTCAAGGCATCAAGAGCCACCACACACAGACGTGTCAAGGAATTTGGCTACAGTTGTCGTATTCCTCTTGTTAAGCCACTCCTTTCTCAGATAATATAGTAAGAGAGTGGACAGGAGGTGAAATGGGAGAGAGAACGGGGACAGGATCAGAAAGGACCATGAGCCGGTATTCAAAGTCTGGTCACCCGAAGTCCAACTGCACTGCACTGCATGAGACTACTGGCTCTAAAAAACACTATCATCTTTAAGCCTCTTTGAAAACCCTTCTGCAGAAGCTTCCCATGCCTCGAGAGCCAAACTTTATTCTAGTCATCCTAACATTAATATCTCACAAAACTGAAGCAGCCAGTGTCACACAGAAAGGAGTCAAACACAATTCCTCAAAAAGCCAATAATATTTGTAATATGCAGTACCAGGTTTATTAGATAACCATATTAGGAAACAAGATATAGAAGAGGAGAAATGCAGAGAGGAATTTGATTTTTTTTTGTATGTGTAAATCTAGCAGCAGCTAGAGTTCTTACTAGAACCAGGAAGTATGACCATATTAGCCCGGTTCTGTCAACACTGCACTGGCTCCCTATTAAACATCGTTTAGATTTTAAAATCCTGCTAATTACTTATAAAGCCCTGAGTGGTTTAGCACCTCAGTATTTGAACAAGCTCTTATTGCATTATAGTCCTCCACGTCCGCTCCATTCTCAAAACTCTGGCAATTTGATAATGCCTAGAAAATCTAAATAAACTGCGGGCGGCAGATCCTTTTCCTATTTAGCGCCCAAACTCTGGAATAACCTACCTAATATTTTTCAGGAGGCAGACACACTCTGTCAGTTTAAATCTAGATTAAAGACCCATCTCACGTAACACACTAACACATTTCTAATATTCAAATCCGTTAAAGGATTTTTAGGCTGCATTAAATAGGACAACCAGAACCGGGAACACTCCCCATAACACCCAATGTACTTGCTACATTGTTAGAAGAATGGCATCTACGCTAATATTAGTCTGTTTCTTTCTTATTCCGAGGTCACCGTAGCCACCAGATCCAGTCCGTATCCAGCCCAGATGGTGGATCAGCACCTAGAGAGGACCTCTAGAGCCCTGAATGTCAGCGGAGATCAGGACAACTAGATGAGCCCCAGAGACAGATCCCCAGTGAAGACCTTGTCTCCAAGACGGCCACCGGGACAAGACCACAGGTTGTGCAGTCCTCTGCACAATGTGACATTGCTGCAGACTGGAATTGATCTGCTGGTTTCATCTGGTCAGAGGACAACTGGCCCCCCGACTGAGCCTGGTTTCTCCCAAGGTTTTTTTCTCCATTCTGTCACCGATGGAATTTTGGTTCCTTGCCGCTGTCGCCTATGGCTTGCTTAGTTGGGGACACTTAATATCCAGCGATATCATCAACTTGATTGCACAGATACTATTTAAACTGAACTGAGCTGGATGATGACATCACTGAATTCAATGATGAACTGCCTTTAACTGAAAATTGAGTGTTTACTATTATCATTTTGCATTATTGACACACTATTTTCCTATTTAATACTGTACAGTTGCTTTGACACAATCTGTATTGTTAAAAGCGCTATATGTAAATAAAGGTGACTTGACTTGACTTATAAATCCCACCTTTTGCATAGGAAGTGGCAAACACCTCTTTCGGGGCAGGTTTTGTGCATACGCAACAGTTATAAATGAGGCCCCTGGACTCTCTCGGTCCTGCCCTGTGTCCAATAAAGCTGTGCCTGGATTCATTTAATCTCTGTTCAGTGTGTGTTTCCTGACAACCGCAACCTAATAAATTATCTGTCTGTACAAACTGAACTACTTGTAGTAGTAGAAAATGTCAAATTGTGTGTCTTTTCTCAAGTGATCAAAAATGTCAAATGTTTTGGAATGGAAAGTAAAATTTGATAGAGCAACAGCATCTCACTTCTATTCACAGCTGACAGAAATGACAAGTGGTTTTAACTCCTGCCCTATGTCTGAAATCTCCCCCATACGCTTAAATAGGGTACTATTTGAGGACAGGCATTTTTAGTGGTGTCCAAAACCTTAGTGGACATTATTGAGTGCACTTATTCAATCACACAATGCACAGCAATAACGAGTGTACAACTGATGCATGCTCAACGGCTAGAGAATACCCATAATGCACTGTGAGAGTCATGCACCGTGTCTCGCCAGAAGATGGCGCCTGTAGCAGAATCATTTATCCATCCATTTTACAAAGCACTCATCCAAGGCGTACAGCATAATCCAATACACTACAGGTATAAATTCATTGTAAATTGATTATTAAATTGTTTAATGAAAAAAAACCCATTTAATTTAAAATATTTATACATCATTTCCAAGACAGAGTTCAAGATAAATCCTTTCATCTTACTATTGGTGCTGCCAGTTTGCCAGTTTCAAATGATTATTAAACAATAAGCACAAACTGCAAAAGAGGCAGTCCTTCCGGTGCACTCAGTGTCCGATGAGTTTTCATTCACTCCTTCAAATGAACTGTATTAGTGGCCTAATTTAGGGAATAGTGAATGACGAGGGTATAGTGAGCAATTTCAGATTGACTTTTGCTCTGCTCTTTGTTTCTCTGTCTATTCTTCTGAAACTGCAAATACATTAACAAGATGTTTTGTAAGCCGTAGCTGTCACGTGTATGTTCCTGTTTAGTTCCTGTTTGTCCTAATTTGGTTTGATTCCTGTTTCCTGTTCTTGTTATTAGTTAATCATCTGTTCATTCTGTTCACCTGTTATGTTTCATTATCCCTTTTGTCTCCACTCCATTTAAGCCCTGTATTCTCCTGAGTTTCTTTGTCTGGAATTGTTCATGTCTACATTTGCTACGTGTGTTTTCCTGTTTTCTTGGACATTATTAAATACTGTATGTTTGAATTGGACTCTGCGTCTCCTCGTTCCTCGCTCCGTGCTCCTCACAGTAGCAACCCGTGACAGAATTCCAGACCGATAAAAGTGAGCGGTGCCTCTCCTCCCCGTGTTTTTTCCCGTTTTTAGTTTTCCCTTGTGTTCGTCCCGCGGCATGGAGATAGCCGCTCGCTTCTCAGCCCTAGCCCGCAGAGATCTCCGCTTTGTGGAATATGCATGGGAGTTCTGCGGGATCGACACGAAAACGGCGCTGGATGACTCGACGCTCAACTCGCTGTTCTGGATCGGGGCTAATTACCATTGCCCAATGGACCTCCCAGACATCGTCAAGCCCGCCGGCCGCTGCTGACTCGGTGCTCTTGGACATGGTGCTACCTCCAGAGTTCTCGGCTCCTATCCTCACCCCAGAATCCACTCCAGAAAGTTCTCCTTCGTCTCCGCTGGTCCCGTCCAGCTCTCCATCGTCCCCTGAGTCTCCTTTATCTCCGCTGATCCCGTCCAGCCCTCCTTCATCTCCTGATTCCCCCGAGTTAGCCAGCCCTGCACTTTCAGAGTGCCCCCCAGAATTCCTTATTTTCACCAAGAAATCTTTTTTGGGGGGGCATATAATATGTTCCCGTTTAGTTCCTGTTTGTCCTTATTTGGTTTGATTCCTGTTTCCTGTTCTTGTTATTAGTTAATCACCGTTCATTCTGTTCACCTGTTATGTTTCATTATCCCTTTTGTCTCCACTCCATTTAAGCCCTGTATTCTCCTGAGTTTCTTTGTCTGGAATTGTTCATGTCTGTATTTGCTACGTGTGTTTTCCTGTTTTCTTGGACATTATTAAATACTGTATGTTTGAATTGGACTCTGCATCTCCTCGTTCCTCGCTCCGTGCTCCTCACATTAGCAACCTGTGACAGTAGCCTTTTTAGACATTTAAATCACAATTAATATGAATGTCATTGCATTCGATATCAAAGCAAGTGTCATTTGTAAAATAAAAATAAAAACTCTTGCAGCACCTTTTCTCAGATTCACTTCTCTGATCCATTTTTGCAATGCCTTCAGTCATCTGGTGTCACTGTGATTTTCTTTACCATGATGTATTAAGCCAGTTACAGGTTCAAGTTCACACAGGTTTCCTTTTTCAAAGGATATTGTATAGTACAATGTTTTCAATGAGTTTGTTTATATTGAAATGTAATCACACACCCTCTAGCTATTCAATACAATCCACTGTAGCAAATGTCAGTGTTTTATATGGAGTGAGGTCAGTAGAGGTCGTTCTCAGTTAAAACATGTTACCTTTCCACTGAGGAACTGCTGAGGATGTGATGGATGTCTGCTTCAATGAGCCGTTTCTGCAGTCTTCAAACTCACTGCATCTGGGAATAAGAGACAATGTTGACTCAGTCCTCCATCTCAGGTTTCGGGCTGCACCAACAATATTACATCCACATTTGTACACTTTCATGGAACAACATAGAAATTATTATTAGATGAAATCTTTCAGCACCTTTGTATGCAATAGGATCTGTTATTTGATAAAAATGGAGCACAATATAAAAAGCTAAACATATGATTCTTGACTTCCAGCCTGTAGTGGAGAGTGGGGTAAGTTGCTTCATATTGTACTTAAGTTGTCGTCTAGGCAAGGCAAAAATAAGGCAGACATAAAACCGAAAACCTCTGGCCTAATTATATGTCAGGATGTCAGCTGTCAACTGAATTTATAAGAAATTATCTAAAACACAGGGCTATAGAAATGTAAAAAGAAAAAGAAATGAGGCAGCAACACAACTTGGCCCAGTGTTAGAAGTAAGCTGTGTCATGTCAAAGCATTAGCTCCATCACTGATAATGTGCAAATGATTTACTTCTGAAATAATAGAAAATAACACACAAACAATATACATGCAAATGCAAAACAATCAAACGTTTGGACACACGGGTTCATTCTTTATTATTTCTATTTTTTCACATTTTAGAACAATGGTAAAGTCATCAAACTGACAGCACGTATGGCAGTATGTGAATCAGGGACAGCCTCGAATGTAACTCTTACAGTGTCACCATCTACTGGAAGATGTTTGAAACTGAAAATATGTGGTGTAACCTGCAATCCATCCAGTTCACTACCAGAGACCTCCATTGCAACTATTCTGATTTGTCATTCCCCCTTTCTGGAAGTATGGGTCTCAGAGGGAAATTCTGAAGGTTTTGTTATTGTATGACCATACACTTTACTTCACAACTGAAACAGCAATTCTACTGATGTATGCATGATGTGGTAGTGCATCACTGCAGTGTTTTTAGAGGACTGCTTTGGTCTTGAAAACCACTCTAATCAAAAGTAATAAAAGCATTACAGCGCATTTAAGCTTTATGTAGCAGGCAGGCCTGTAGTTTCCTGTCATCAGGTAGCTTTACAGAAATCATGCTGTAGCATTTATTTGTTAATAAACAAATACTGGAATTATTGTACCTATGGCTCGAGATGCTGGGATTTTTATCATAACAGTATCATAGCCTATGATGTACAGGTTGTGCCTGTATGTTAACTAGCAACCATGCAGTTTTTTGTAAAACAATAGTTTTCTGTAAAATAAAATTAGTACTGTTATTATCTTATCATTAATTTTTATCTTATTATATTGTTTTTTTATTTGTTTTAAATGTCGCATTTTAAATCACAAATAGCAATTTTAACCAAAAAAATAAAATAAAAATCGCAATTAGAAACTGTTAGTGCTTTCCCTGTCAGTGCTGTATGTGGGTGGTTGTCATGTCAAGTCAAGTCACCTTTATTTGTATAGCGCTTTATACAATACTTGTTGTGTCAAAGCAGCTTTACAGTGTTAAACAGGAAAATAGTTCGTCAATAATGCAAGAGGACAATAACAAATAGTCAGTTTATCAGCTAAAGTCAGTTGGTCAGAATTCAGTATAATTTCAACACTGACAATGCTTGAGCATGCAATTGTGGTGCCCATTCAACTTCTTGTTTTCAATTACATACATTTGCTTTTTTAATGTTGTTTATTTAATTTTTGCCGCTGGTAAAGTTGATTATATTTGTACAGTTTCGGGACTCACTTGCATATACTGCACACCCCATGGGGAACTCCCCCTCACTGTATATAAATAAAACACCATCTTTTGCACCATAGTGCATTTGACATAATGCGTGTGCCATCATTTAAATTGTTTCCATCAAGGACCATAAAATGTCCAGGGAGTGGGTCACCAAAGCTCACTTCCCTACAAGAATATTTGTACCTTTGTATGCAATAGGATCTGTTATTTGATAAAAATGGAGCACAATATAAAAAGCTAAACATATGATTCTTGACTTCCAGCCTGTAGTGGAGAGTGGGGTAAGTTGCTTCATATTGTACTTAAGTTGTCGTCTAGGCAAGGCAAAAATAAGGCAGACATAAAACCGAAAACCTCTGGCCTAATTATATGTCAGGATGTCAGCTGTCAACTGAATTTATAAGAAATTATCTAAAACACAGGGCTATAGAAATGTAAAAAGAAAAAGAAATGAGGCAGCAACACAACTTGGCCCAGTGTTAGAAGTAAGCTGTGTCATGTCAAAGCATTAGCTCCATCACTGATAATGTGCAAATGATTTACTTCTGAAATAATAGAAAATAACACACAAACAATATACAGTACATGCAAATGCAAAACAATCAAGCGTTTGGACACACGGGTTCATTCTTTATTATTTCTATTTTTTCACATTTTAGAACAATGGTAAAGTCATCAAACTGACAGCACGTATGGCAGTATGTGAATCAGGGACAGCCTCGAATGTAACTCTTACAGTGTCACCATCTACTGGAAGATGTTTGAAACTGAAAATATGTGGTGTAACCTGCAATCCATCCAGTTCACTACCAGAGACCTCCATTGCAACTATTCTGATTTGTCATTCCCCCTTTCTGGAAGTATGGGTCTCAGAGGGAAATTCTGAAGGTTTTGTTATTGTATGACCATACACTTTACTTCACAACTGAAACAGCAATTCTACTGATGTATGCATGATGTGGTAGTGCATCACTGCAGTGTTTTTAGAGGACTGCTTTGGTCTTGAAAACCACTCTAATCAAAAGTAATAAAAGCATTACAGCGCATTTAAGCTTTATGTAGCAGGCAGGCCTGTAGTTTCCTGTCATCAGGTAGCTTTACAGAAATCATGCTGTAGCATTTATTTGTTAATAAACAAATACTGGAATTATTGTACCTATGGCTCGAGATGCTGGGATTTTTATCATAACAGTATCATAGCCTATGATGTACAGGTTGTGCCTGTATGTTAACTAGCAACCATGCAGTTTTTTGTAAAACAATAGTTTTCTGTAAAATAAAATTAGTACTGTTATTATCTTATCATTAATTTTTATCTTATTATATTGTTTTTTTATTTGTTTTAAATGTCGCATTTTAAATCACAAATAGCAATTTTAACCAAAAAAATAAAATAAAAATCGCAATTAGAAACTGTTAGTGCTTTCCCTGTCAGTGCTGTATGTGGGTGGTTGTCATGTCAAGTCAAGTCACCTTTATTTGTATAGCGCTTTATACAATACTTGTTGTGTCAAAGCAGCTTTACAGTGTTAAACAGGAAAATAGTTCGTCAATAATGCAAGAGGACAATAACAAATAGTCAGTTTATCAGCTAAAGTCAGTTGGTCAGAATTCAGTATAATTTCAACACTGACAATGCTTGAGCATGCAATTGTGGTGCCCATTCAACTTCTTGTTTTCAATTACATACATTTGCTTTTTTAATGTTGTTTATTTAATTTTTGCCGCTGGTAAAGTTGATTATATTTGTACAGTTTCGGGACTCACTTGCATATACTGCACACCCCATGGGGAACTCCCCCTCACTGTATATAAATAAAACACCATCTTTTGCACCATAGTGCATTTGACATAATGCGTGTGCCATCATTTAAATTGTTTCCATCAAGGACCATAAAATGTCCAGGGAGTGGGTCACCAAAGCTCACTTCCCTACAAGAATATTTGTTCATTTCCTCAGTGAAAATCTCTATACAGTTGGAGTAAACATAGAATGCACATGCTGCATCTGCGAGGCGTCCGTTACACATTTTCCCTGTGTGTTAACGTCAGTATTTATGACTGTCGAATGTCTGACTACTTGACTCTTGGTAATGTATTCTGCTTCTGCTGTGTTTCTGTTCGCGAACTGCATTCTCATTAAGTGCACCATTGCATGGAGAAAAAGACTTGAAAACAAACACCAAGTATAGGCCTGGATTGCCACTGAGTAATGAACCCATGTCATTTGCTCAGCCAATTATTTTTGGTTGATATTTGCACTTTCAAAAATAGGGGAGGTTGGGCACCCACCAGCAGAAACAGAAATCAGCACCTATGTTCTCAACTCCAGTCCTGGGGACCTACAGAACTGCACGTTTTGTATGTCTCCCTTATTGACACACCTGATTCAGCTCAGTAGCATGAACTCAGCTTTGTCTGTCAGATACAGGAACACATGCACAATGTGCCGTTC